CTTTCCCTAAAAACAATCACACAAAACAATATAGAATAATTATGCAAAACAAAACAAAAAAATATTTAAAAAGTAAGCATAATCATCTACAAAACAACTACACCCATCAGAAATGCTTCCATAATAGATATCAGGTAATGTGAACTACAGTACTACTGGCCAGAAAGCCAAGCAACTGATGTCTTTCTTTCACAAACAGACTATAACTTAACCTGAAAAAAAAAAAAAACAAAAAACAGCAATAAGAATACATTTACGGTAGACTTTGCTTCCTGTTAGTATCTATTTTGTTCCCCCCAAAAAATTTCCAGATGAGTAACTGTGCAAAATAACTTTTTTTCCTATTCAAGTCATTTCTGTATGTGGTTATCCACATGAACCTTATGCCAGCATACATCTAAAAAATGTAAGTGTTCATGTTGCATAAGTCAATGAAGAGGGGAATAGTCTTGTCAGCAGTCACAAAGGATTCATGCCAATTTCTTTCTCCCTTTCTTTTTGTGAACACATTGTTACAAAAAGAAAAAGGGAACTAAAATGGATTTAGAAATGTATCGACCTGTTAGATGAAATCAACACTTGGTTCATGACTGTGTGTAAGCTAAGTGGAAGATGTAGAAAGAGAACTTGGGACAAGGTGAGACAAGGGTCTAAAAGCCAACTCTCAGAATACACTGCTCCCTAATTTCCCATCTGGTTCTTCTAGAAATGTCACATAGCAGTTTTATATATTATATAAAGGACAATAAATTTAATTCTTTACATGAAAATACCCACTTATTTCTACAAGGATCACCTTTCCATCTGTGTACCTGCTGTAGCCTGTTAATCTTACCTTCAGAGCACCACAAAGCTCAACTGTATCTGCATCATCTACTACAGTTATTCGGAAGTTTGGAGTCTGCAGGAGTTCTTTGAAGAGAAGGCCATTTTCCAAGATTTTGCTGCCTGTTGAGAGAGCAAAAAGAAGGCTAAAAATTGAAAAATTTGGGTGTTATTTAGCCTTTCCTGTTCAACCCAAAATACTTAAAAGCAGAGGTTGTTCTACCTTCATCCTAACCACACTCCTGTTTTAGGTGACTGAGAATTTGTCTATGTTGCACTTAAAAGCTCTGCACTGAATTACTCTGGACTTCTTCATAATAGATTGCCTGCTTGGTAACAGATTCTAAATAACAGTTCCATTAATTCCCTATACTCTCTCTTTTTTAATAATTCTTTTTAAAAAGAACAGTTAGTAATAAAACAAAGGTGAATTTAACAGAGTGGATGCAATTCTACCAGTTAGAGGCCTGCATTTCAGAAAAACACATACTGATAAAGGCATGTCAAGGATGTTTTACTGATTGAGCACACTGCCACTGACAAATGCTTCTAAGCACCAGGAGGTAATTCAACTATTCAAAATTAAGTTCAATGCAAAAGCTGCTAATGAGAGGTTACAAAACTGAAAATATACAAAACTGTAAAAATTAACACTAAAAAAATAACACAAACTCTGTTGTTATATATTTACTACCTGTATGCTTATACACATGCACATATGCCTATCTAGACACTGTGAAATCCAAGATTAGGCACATCTTTGTTCTGCAAAGGAGTGCAGACATCAATACAGAACTAAAACCATGTCTAGTTTTCAGAGGAACTAATTATTTTAAGAAATTAAAATAAGATATTGATACCTTAAAAAAAAAAAAAAAAAACAAAAAAAACAGCAAAGCACACAAACAACAAACCAAATCCAACCCAAAGATGCATAAAGGTACTGTCTGTGACCATAACATCTAAGCTGGGGTACAGAACATATAATAATTTATCCATATAAAGCCATACAGACACAAGAAAAACTTCAAGCACAACAATAAAATAAAAAAAGTTTGTTTTGTGGAGAGTGATAAAAAGCACACTTAGTATTTCACCTGCTAAGTGTGACTAGGTAAAACTGCACTCCCTCTCCCTCTATTCCCAGTATTGTCCTAATACTTTTAGAAGTATAAACATTCCAGGAAATTAAATAGTAAAATAAGAAGAACCAAACAGTTTCTGATAACAGGCAGCTAATGTTGAAAATGATAACATTTCAGCTATTTGGTGTGCCACTGGGAGGACAGGAGCATGTTTTAAGCATTCTTATTACTCAGAACAGTACCTATTGTGGTTTCACAGAATTTCTCTGCTGCCACCTCATTGGCAATGTTAGCTCCCATCAGCACACTGATGTCTATTCCCATCTTCTCTCGAATAATGTCAGAGATCAGTTTGAGTCCCTCCGGGCCTTCATCTATTCCCTGCAGCCAACATCAAATGGAATTACTAAAAAGTCATTTATTAGACACAGTAGAGAAGAAAGCATACCACAGTTAGTCTTGTTCACAGGTAGGAAATGCAACAAGGCCTGTGCAGACAGAGGCTAAAGATGACAGACTTGTTACTGGTGAAACTTCCGCTATTGTTGTGACCTGACCCAAGCAGTCTTCTTTACATAGCAAGCAGCACCTTAAGAATTAGGACTAAACTCTAGATGATGGTAATTGTTTTTATTCCATACTCAGTCAAAGACCTGATTCTAAGAAGTGCTGAATATTCAGCTTTGTTAGTTCAGAATCTCAGCTGCTTATTATGAGCGTATCCTTACCAAAACCAGTGAAGCATCACCAGTCCATCAGTTGTGAATCAGGCCTGCATTTAGATTTGAAATTGCACCAGGATGCACAAAAAGGCATCCCCATAACTTGTTTTGTGAAGAGCTATATGAAGCGAAATATAAGTAGCAGATTCCCTTCTGTAAAGCACCACCAACAGTTTAGTCATAGAAAGCCAGTTTAATAATTTTGAATACTACTATAAATGGGACAACTGTTCACAGATATGTAGAAAACTGAAAAACTGACAATAATTTAATTTGTGAGGATATTTTTAATCTGTGTTTCTAACACACTTTTTACAAAGTGTTAAAATAGGGGCAAAAAACAGAACCTCAGAAAAGATCATCCCAGAAATTCATGCTGCAATGGAGAAGAGAGTCTGGAATTACCTGAACCCAGAGCTCCAAAGGAGACCACTTTCTTCTCACAAATCCCTTTTCTCCCAGCCTGCTTAATACAGACTTCTCTGAGTTTTCAGAAGAGGGGCATGGCAGACAAGCTACTGAAATGGTCTGTCTTTCCCACAGTACACCACCTTTTATACAGTACTATTTTTTAATGTTTCAGATTTGGTACTTTTGAGGATCGGTAATTTTGTATTATGACTAAAAGGCAGAGGAGTGATCCTCAACCACTTCCACATACACATGCACACACTTGTATGGTGTCAGTAGTGACATTCCAGGCAGGCAGCAGTTTGCATTTCCACAGATGAGAGGTGCTATTCATTAAATAACATGGCGTGATAAAGAGGCATACAGAAATGCTGTATAATACCAGCCAATTAAACTAGTGCTTGCATTTCTGCATTATTTTCCAATCTGTGTCACAATGCACAGCTCTTTCTTATTTTTCATGAGCCATACATTCTTACATACAAGAATCTGAAGGCAATCACACCTATACAAATTGTATTTGTCCCTCAGTGTCAAAAATGCCCCCCCAAAGTAAGTGTAAGGCCCCTCCTCCTAAGCAGAAAATTAATAAACAGAAAAAACATGCACATATTTGGAACAACTCCAAAAATGTGAATATGTATACAACAATTACTCATCCAAGTCAAATGAGATTAGAGAGGTTTAGGTGCTAAATCCAGCTTTGCTATGAAACAGATGCAACTTTTGTCAAAGTCAAGGACAGCTGCACCTGTTTCTTGTAGAGTTAAATCCAATATTGAATGATAGATGACAGGAGAAAAACCAAATACCCCTCCTTTCCTGTATTTCAGACCACTAAAAATATAACTTTTATGAAAACAGCATGAACAAAGAAGCTGCAAAAGTAAAGGGAATAATGTATTCCTGCCTCTCCTACTTAGCTTGTATTAAATCTCTGCCCTTTCTTCTAAAATTATACTTTTCATGATACACAGTTCTGCATTTTCAGAAAAGCTAACACGTACTTTACATTGTCCTGCACAAAAAATTAAGGGGCCTCACACCATTTCTTTCAAGACACTGCCTACTGATGCAGTGTCACAAGGTAACTTTTTTTTGCGCCCCTGCCACTATTTTACTTATACTACACCAAGAATGGGCTTTTTGGGTTTCTGGGTTTTTTTTGGGGCGGAGGAGGCTGGATTTTTTTTTACGATAAGTATCCTTCCATCCTTTTTACATAGCCATTATTCACAACACTTGATTAAAGCACCAGTAATCAATACCCAGAGCTGTAATCCCAAGGAGATATGGGCCCAGACTCTGACATCAAATATGCTAACACTCTCAGTTACTCCACTGATTTTGTTAGTTATTCCTGTCACTGAGGACATGAGGATGTAAACCACATTTAAAAAATAAAAGAAAAAGAAATTTATCTTGAGTTTGCAGAAGAAAGAAACATAAAGGGACAATTTCAAAGCAATAAACTTAAGGGCATCTAGGACAGCTGTGTGGTTTTGATGCTATGCATTCAGCTTTTAACACTGCCTTATTTTATTCTTCTACAGCATAAAAAGTTTTTCTGCAAAATGCAGCAAGTGCACTCGGGAAGCATTATTTTTTCACACATCCCAGTGATATATCAGGTCAGCTGACAAAACAACAGAGATTTGATGAGCTAAGTTAGACAACGAGACAAGCTTGCAGTAAGTAGTGATGGGGGGGTTTGATCCTCTTAAGCACAGATCCATAAATGTATCATTTTCCAGAAGTGACAGTAAACAACTGAATGTGTGTTGAGAAAACAGCCCACTCTTATCTAAGTATAAAGCAACAACCAGAATCTTCCAAAACTTGTGGGAACAGCTTATTCTCTGCAGCTAAACACAGAGCAGAAAAAAAAAGTAGCTCATCCACATCTAACAATTCTTCTGCCACCAAAACTACAAACACTCCAGTGAAATACTTCCTGCACCTCTGTCCCCTCCCATTTCCTATCCTCCCACTGTCTTTTTTGGGCCATGCTGAACAGACCCTCTTGTTGCAACATACTATATGACATGAACAAGAGCACTATCCTCTCAGTCACATTAAATTCTCTCAGCAATTCTCAAAATTATTGACTCAGCACGTGGGATGTGCATTAACAATCAAAGCATTATGCTTGTACTCTGTTCTTCATCTAATGATGCGTTTGAAAATGATAAATAAAAGACTGGAAAGCTTGGTGGTGCAAAATACATTCAGTCCCTCTTTTAAGTCTTGTGAACAGTCTCATTTTTCTCTTCCTGCAGGCACTAACCTAAAATAAAACACCACTAATGACCAAGACAAATTCCAATCTGACATCTGGAAAGGTTTAATGGAATAACCAGCTAACAATGGAAGGAGACATTTCATACCAGAATATCAAGCCATGACACATTCTCAGCTATTAATGCATAGTATTCATTATACCTTTATGAGAGTTATACCAAGTGCTTTCTTGGGTACTCGTCCTGTGATTTCATCGCAGACTTTATGGATGAACTGATGAGGAATAACAAAAATCAGCAAGTCTGCATCCTGTACAGCTTCATTCAGGTTTGGGACAGCGACCTGTGTAGTTGTGGGAAAGAAAGGACACAACTTCTAAAATTAGCACTACACACAAGTGTTACCCAATAAGTAAACGCACATTTTGGTCTTGTACTGAACGCTACAAGCTACTCTGCTTCATCATTGAAAATAAGCAGTAATATAAACTTCTCACAAAAGCAAAAGAATTTAAGCTTTCCAGAAAGCTACTTCATGTCTTGGAAGGGAATTCTTTAGTCACCAGTATGGTTAGTGCCACAAAAATTCAAAATGTTTGGGAACATTCAAAACAAGTACTTTGAGTAAGAAAATATAAACTAGGCAGCTGCCTTCTCTTTGACAAAATAATCTCACGTTTTGATAAATTACTGCATGCGGAAAAGTAGTTTCTTTACTCCGTGCCTTCTATATTCAAATGTGTTTCCCAGGTCTCTTATACCCACTGGTTTGTATTCTCTTTTTCTGTAGTTCACAGATTTTGTTTACCCTTTAAGAAGGTGACCTACTTTGAAGCCACTTGCCAGACTCCACTTTTCCTAACACTTGATTGCCATCCTAAAATAACACTCAGGTGTAAAATGTAGCAATAAGCTTGGCCTACTGACAAAAAGAACAAACTTGAATGAGCTGGTAGTGGGCAGCAGAAACACCACACTTGCTGACGGCCAGGGAAATGGAATTTCAGCATTACTATTAAAGTGAACACTGCAATGCACAGCAAGTCATGTTTTTCCTGCCAAATCTCTACTCGATTGTCAGCTGCTGCGGCCTTTTCCTATAATTTTCTGGGTGCAAGACTCAGCACCTGCCCCCTTATCACATTACACCAACAGAGGATACATGTGGAGTCCCACTGTACTGCCCTGGCAAGGCTACATCCAACGCTGATCTACTGCACATAGTTGAAACACATCTGAGAACCAGATGAACTGCAAACAACTTACAGTCTGCTCAAGAAATACTCTAGTTCTCATCCTGTAATACTTGCTAACAGTTTCAGAGCACTTGAAATCCCTTCAATTCTCACTGACCAGGGCCAAGTTTGTTTGTTTGGTTTTTTGTTTTTTTTTTTTTTTTTTTTGTTTTTTTTTGTTTTTTTTAAATGGGTATGGTCAGAGCTGTTAATCTTGCCCTCATTTTCACATTTGCTTCCCTAAATAGAAGCTGAACAAACATAAAGACAACAGTGAGACAAATAACAAAAAAAAAAAAAAAAAAAGACTGCAATGCACTGGATTTTCCTACCTGCATAATTCAATTCTACCTGTTCAAATCTCTGATCCCATCAGTAAAGTAGCATAAATTTTGAAATATTATAAACCCTAAAAGTGTTAACAAAATAAATTTCTACATCCATTCACAGCATGAGCAATATTCCCTCCGCTCCACAACTAGAATTTAGCTTCTCAGCCTTACCACATTATCTGGCAGCTTGTATCCAGGGAGATACTTCACATTTTCATGTTCTTTATTTATAATATCTGTCAGTTTTCTCCCATTAATATTCTCCTCGAAGACCCACATCTTCACTGTGGAGGCAAATTTTTCCAATTTTTTTACATTACTGCCTATTATTTTTGCAACCGCAGAACCCCTGCAGGAAAGAGAAAATAAATATTCTTTAAAAATTATAATTCTGCATTAGAAGAAAAAGATTGCCTTTAAAATAAACAGAAATTCACAGGTTACTGAACCAGTTACTATGTAGCATTTTTTTGATCTAGTAAAATAAGCAGAAAAATACACCAGTCATTCACACCAGCAGCTTTCTCTCAAATATATCTAGGGTAGGTCGGACTGGAGCATTTACTGACAACACCCTTACTTACTCTGCTTTGAGTTTATATTTCCACAAATCACATTGATTATATCATCAAAGCAGTAGTAAAAGGGACATAATTTTAAAAAATGGATAATTTTCACCTTTAAGAAACAGGAAGTTCTCTTTGCTAAGATGACTAACCCATCAACTGCTCTATAATACTGATGTGTATTTAAAGCCAAACAGCATTTATATCTTGCATAAGTTATAAGCTTTGCGGTTATGCTGCCAACCTCATAGAATTTAACTGTTGTAATGGCATCCTCTGAATTTGCAGACAGACAATTCCACTACTGTTTGCCTCATATTCTCCCTAAGAAGAGCACACAGTGAAACCTGTAGGTCAACGACCAATTTTATTACTCAAATCTCTAAGCAACAACAAAATTAATCAGAATTACTGGAACTACATACAAGAGGAGGAACCAATGCAACCTTCTCTTCCATTCCTAGCCTGAATGCTATATGGAATTAAAAGACACAATTTTATAAAACCTTTTAACCTAACTTCCTTTCCTGGGACAAGAAAGCAGCTTCATAATTATTGCTGACCTAACTAAGCAAACAAACAAAAAAAAAATCAAGAAAGATGCTATAAAAATACAGAGTCACCGATCTGAGGCTTACATGTGTGCATGTGCACACTTTATTAGGAGGTAAGAACACTAACTTTTCAAATCTAGTTATACTCCAGCACTCCCCTGAATTTATTATGGACACTGCTTGCAATAAACTCGTAGCTGGCACCTAAGCCAAATAGATTCATTCTGCTTCAAGACCCCTTAGCATGGCACAACTCCCTGTGCTGTATTGAAGAAGTGTGCTACCACAGGCCTAACAGCACTGAGTAGTGGCAGAAAAAATGATAGTACCCTAAGGTGACCTTCTTCAGTTAAACCATTGAACTCCAGGTCTTGAAAGAGTGGAATTTATTTCTCTGATAGCATTTCATACACTACAAGTTCCCCTGGGTTAAGAAGTTGATACAGAAGCCACAATTATCAGGCATCTGTTATCAAGCTCCTGTTCCAGATCTGCATGCACACAGAGTTGTTTGCACTGCAATGGTAGGCACTCACCGGTTCGACCCCCGTATGTCAGATCCACACCAACAGTATGAATCACAGTCAACACAAGACAGGCATGCGTTCCTCAGAAAGCACTTAAGAGTCCCTTGAACAAAAGCACGTTTACTACTGCAGATTCATGTACTAAGTCTGGTTCTTGGCAAACCACTGTCTTCAGTTTTGAACTTCACTACACATTCTGTGTGCTTAGTGTTTATAGACAAAGACAGAAATAACTGATTCAGCAACTGACAGAGATTCTCATACCTTTGCCAGAATAAAGTTTGGCAGCATGTACTACTTGAGTGAGACATTTATTCCATTACTGTTTAACTCTTAAATGCCTTAGCTGTCTTTTTTTTTTTTTTTTTTTTTTTTTTTTCAGCCTTTGAATGTAGTATTAAAGAAGCAAAGACTTGCCTAGTCTTAGTTCCTGAATTCAGGAAGATTCTCTTCACTGGCTTCTCTGTTTTGTCATTTCCTGTTATGCTGCAATGACTGTTGCAGGACTGAATTAAGCAAGGTCAGATGACTGACACCGAGTCTAAATTACTCTATACAAGATGAAATATCAGCCCCTTACACCTGTTAATACAACAACTGGCCTATGTTCTCTTCTGTGCCCTAAAACTCCTCAGCATGTACTCTGAAATAATTTCCTGGAACGTCTGGATCATCTTGTATGCTCTTGGCACACTGCAAGGTAAAGGAATGGGAGTTCTTGCCAATTTATTCCCAGCAATAACTGTTGTAGTGTGAGCTAGGTTGGAAGACTTGGGTGTCCACAGCAGCTTAGTTACAGAAGAAAAACCATAACGAAGTATTCCCTCATAAACCTTAACCGTGACACGATCTGAGGGATGGTTAATGCTATTCAAGGAACACAAAGTAGCCGCACACCAGACAGTTCTTCTCCTTGAAAAGAATATCAAAGGTATGGCCAAATACAACCACACACGCTTATTTAACATTTCTGAAGACTATCTGACACTCATTAGGCAAGATTTTGTCTCCTGCCCTCCAGTTACAGCATATCACAGTCAGTCTGCTTTCCCCTCATCACTTTACAAGTATAGCACAAAACCAAGAAACTCCCGAACTCATCCTGATATCAGTATCAGCAGAGATCACAATATGCAAGTGCAAATAACATCATTAACTATAGCTCTATCACTTGTCTCTGTCAAATCACCTCAGTTAAGCCCCATGTGTTAGCTCCCATTTTTCTACAGCAACTTTCTAGCCATATGAACTCTGCCCCTGTAGCTTCCCATCTCTTCCTAAACAATACAGTTCCTGTTCAGGTTGGGCCATCAGATTCATTAACAACCAGTTCTAGCAAAACAGATAAATTCTGGCTGTGCACACCTTGTTAGCCTGCCTCTCAGAAGAGCAGGCTATACTACCTGTCAGAGGGAGCATTTGCAGTGCTTTAACTGAATCTGGGCACAATCCTTGAATCGTGAGGCTTCAAGGCATATCCCCAAGGTGTACTTTCTTCATATTCATGAAATACTATTTTATCCTCAACTTTAAAGATCCTAATACAATCACTTATCCATCTGCTAGGCAACCATAAATTGCCCAGGCCAGCAAAAATCTCAGCACCTGCTCCTGCCTTGCAAGTCATCTGTCCCATTCCATGATCTTCCATCAGGTGAGTGACTCCTGCCAAGTCAACTCCATTGTTAAGGTGACCTTCTCCTTGTAAACCAGCCAGGCGAGTCTGACTAGAAGTAGTTTATCATCCAAGCTGATTAGTTCAACCCTTCTAAATGGTCGCTGTCATAGTTTTTGTGTTTGTTTTGTATTTTTTTTTTTGTAATCCCAGATATAGGCTAAAGGGCTGTGAGAAGTCAAAGCCATCCACAGAGTTACTGGCACTTGTGGCACAGAATCATCTCACGGAAGCTCAATACCCCACAGCCTCCAAACTGCTGAAGACACCAGACTCCACTTATTTCAACTACTTACATGCTTATTACAATCTAGGCAACAGCAGTCACACAGCCCAGTTATCCAGGCTTCAAAAATATGTAACTCCAAAATACCACTAAGATGCATATAAGTGCTTAAATTTCTATTTATCTGCTTTTGAGCATTAAAGGCTTCCACTTTAGGACCAGAGGTCTAACAAAAAAGAAGTTGCTCACACGCACGCAAGTCCACAATTCAAATCATGTCCGTTTAACGGCTGCATATACTATTGAATCACAGTGCTCTTTGCAGTCAGGATCTGGTATCTGTCATCTCTTGGACTCTGTGGAAGAAATCATGTAACTCTCAAAAAAATATTTTTTTCAGAAACATGGGGGGGTGAGGAAAGGGGATGGGACAGCTATTTCATATCAAATAGTTTGCAATTTGAAATTTTTTA